GTTATCCACCGGAAATATGTGTGGCTACATAATGTACGTTTTGTACTCATGTAGGCGCTAGTAAACGGCTCCCATTAAAGTCATTATGGCCGGTGTTCATAGTCCACTCTTATTTTAAGGCTGGTATTTATAGTTGATTCTTGTATTTAAGATGATCTTAAAATAAGAACCGACTGTGAATCTCAGCTTCTGTGTTTCCGCCCTAAGCGGTTTGTGATTGGTCGAAGAAAAATCTGACAGTTATCCCGACATTTTTTGTATGATACGCGTATATCAGCCCACCAACATCCATTTTTGTGATATGGAAAATAAGGCCGGTATTCATAGTCGATTCTTATTCCAAAACCGTCTTAAGTAATGTCTACGTTAATGCGGCTCTCTGATTGGTTCGTGACATCTTAAGACTATACGAGGGTCGTTTGAAAAGTCCGTGCAAAGTCACTGCTGATGGCACTACTGGCGCGTATCAAGGTTAGATTTAGTTAGTAGCATCTCTTGGAGGAACACACACCAAGTTACAGCCAGATCGGTCTATTTGTTTGTGTTTGGCATTCATTTGAATCGAGGAAGTCGAGGGGGGTTTGTTTCTGCAATCACGTCCTCGTTTCCATAAAATCTTTTTCCCGCCAGCCATTTCTTCATATTGGGGAACAAATAGTAGTCCGAGGGAGCCAAGTCTGGAGAATAGGGGGGATGTGAGACGAGTTGGAACCCTAATTCCATTAATTTTGCGATCACAACTGCTGAGGTGTGAGCTGGTGCGTTATTGAAAATCACTCGACTTCCTCGATTCAAATGAATGCCAAACACAAACAAATAGACCGATCTGGCTGTAACTTGGTGTGTGTTCCTCCAAGAGATGCTACTAACTAAATCTAACCTTGATACGCGCCAGTAATGCCATCAGCAGTGACTTTGCACGGACTTTTCAAACGACCCTCGTACTTAAGACGATCTTGAATTTAAGAATCGATTATAAATACCGACCTAAGTACCTATTTTGCGGTACTGTCGATAAAATCGTACTACTGAAAAGAAATATGGTGCGTGTCCATGCTAATAAGAGCCATCGAGCAACAGTTGAGTGAGCGCTCACTGTTATTGATATATTCTTCTAAACATTCATACAACAAATTTTATACAATTTGAATGTGTTTTGATTGTGTTTCGAAACGCATCCGTCTTGAATGTGTAAAGGCATTTCTGTCGGCCAGTGTACATACTTAAGACGGTCTTGAATATAAGATCTGACTATGAATACCGGCCTTAATCTTCACAAAAAAAGGGATCCGGAGATAATTAAAGAACGCTGACATTATCGACAATTGATATAAATTTGCGATTATTAATCTAAATATTTGGATATTACATTGTTAAATTCATGATTTTTTTATTATATATATGCTCTATAAATAAATATGTACACTTATAATGCTATAATATTCTATATATTGCAGAAAAATTACAATTTTTTTTCTGCATTATCATCTCTGTTGATAATCAAACTTTGACGATAACACTAAAATCATAATTTTAGAAAAATCAAGTATTACTGAGTTCTAAATGCATAAATACGTCTACTAAACTAATAAATCATAATATTAATATAATATTATCAGTTTTTAACTCTTAACCATTTCAGTATTCATAAAGACGCGAACTCCTGTAAGGAGGTCGGTCTTTAATAGTATCTCGTCAGTGGTTACATGAAAGAGACAGGGATTACTACTCTCAGGTTTTTCTCTAGTACTGCTTAGCATATAACTGTGATCATTTCTTTGTTGAATGTGTTCAATGTTAAACCATATTGCATGGTAAAAAGCATTCGGTATCGATGATTTTAACCTTAATGTTTACAAAATGCTTATATTGTAAGCATATGAATTTTATCACAAAATAGTGAACTTACTTAAATATTCAAAGAGTGAAATAAAGTTAAAAACATGTCTTATTTAACGAGAAAAGAAATAGACGAAATGAAGCCGCAGATCGAGAAAGCGGTTCATAAATTTCTTGGCTTTAGTGAACCAGCTATTGTTACTACAGCCGTCAACTGTATTACTTCTGGCTATGATAAACGTAAAACAGCAGGTTAGCAATAGAAAATACGTCAACTTATTTTCTATAATGATTATTTTCTACAATTTTTACTATTAACATTTAATACGTTCTATGACTTTTTGTTCAGACCATTCTTCATAAAAGTTTTTTATAATTTTTAATAAAATACGTTATGAAATACATTTTTCTTAACAAGTATAAATACAAACAAGAATATCATAAGTCACTAGTCTATACTATATCATGTGGCACACCGTGGACAAATCATTTGCAATTGTCACAACATGGAGTGTATTAAAGTACCTGTATTACTTCATTTTATATACTTGAAATATACTTATATACTTGAAAATATATATATACTTCGAAATATATATGATTCTATATAATATGTTAAAAAATTTTTATAGATAAATTATCGGCTTTATTAGAAGATAAGAAAGCTTCTAAGTTGACAGAAAAGATATTTACGATATATGATGATAC